CTGACCTGCAAAGCGGCCCGGCGCGCGGATCCTTACTCGAACTGTCAACACACCCCGCTAGTTCAGACTCCTCCGACTACTCTCCATTCAGGTAGAAAGTCTGGGGACAGATGCATACTGGAGGCGTGACCACGTTGGTAACGCGATGTGATGACGTGCCAAACTTATTGTCTCTTCTCAGCCTCGCAACTGGGTTACGTCTGCCTTGCTGACCACCGACCCCATATGCTTACCATAAGCCATCGTATTCGGTCGCCGGCACTGTCCTTCCGCGGCGGGCCGTTGTGGCGTTAGGATCCTGAAAAGGTCTCGTATTGACGGTGGAGAACACATAGTTCAGCAAGCCATGTCTGTGGGAAGGTTGCCTTATTCGCAGCTTAACGGTTGCTGCAAGCCGTCCGTCAGCCGGATATGCAAGCTTCCTGCAGCATCGTCCGGAAACGTTCGTTCTTGACTTCAGCCACATATTGTTAGTTTCCACGGCATAGCTGGGGAAGAATGCTTCCAACTACCTCGAATCAGCTCAAGTCTCAAACGCGCTTTGGTTGACGATTTTAGTTTCGAGTAACTTGCCTAGCAGTCATCTTCACCAGTCAGACCTCTGTTGCGGTCAACATAATAGTCTAGAGTCACGCGCCTACAAGACCTCCTCCGTGGAAAGGTATCCGGATCGTCATGGTCGTTGGCCCCTAGCGTTCATCAGCGGTCTCGTGTTCGCGTTGTGGGGCGTAAAGAAGTCGAGCGTTGGCCTCGGCAGATTTGCAGGTGTGTCAACACCACCCTTCCGTAGCGTCGCGTTAGCCGGATCAAGGGTAGTTATTTACAGTGACACGGATGGCCCCTGCAGATGGGCGCTTGGGTGGATTTCATGGGGAAAGCAAGGCTAATCAGGCAGGTTGGACGTTCCTGCGCTGTGTGACGTCACTTTGCTTTTGGTTAGGGCTTTGCCGATCGAGACCGAGCCGAGTTTTGAGGTCTCCCTCCACGTGTTCTGGGGTAATCCAGATACCTGGTACGGGGACGGCGAAGTCGATCACGGAGCGAACTAATGTAATCTGTAAACGTCGGGCATCATTCGACGACACTTTACGCCGTCGGACTGCGACGGTTGCGAGCGTCCTTCAGAAATACTTGGGTGATCGAGCCAGCGTTATCGTTCCTTTTGTCCAGGAGTTTCATCATAAGTTATCCATCTCGGGTGTCGGTTGGCTTTATTTAGCTTTCTTGCCACACTCCCAGGCTGTCACTATTGAGTGGGCTGAAGATCAGCAGTAGTTCTTATTTCGTTCATTGACAATCTCCTACCGATAGCGGTGATTTTGATCTAGATCGAAGAACAACGCAAGCGATAAAGAGTCTGGTGGTACTCCTGAACTAGGCTGATCTCCTTTCTGTAACGTCTTCGATAATTACTAGCGCTCAATTTGCCATCGCCATCAAGAGTGCGAGACAAGTGTTTCTCGTCCGCTTGGGAGAATGTTGACATGAATAACAGATGACTCGAACAAACAAGATGACGAAACGAGGTAGTATACGAACTGCCACTAGAGTCCACAGTATTTTTGGATGTTTATTCCGGATCTGGGCATATGAGTCGAAACGCTAAATCCACTTTTCATGGCTGTCCAGTGTTGCGCTGCTCCTTCATTGTACAGGAGACTGATTTCGGGAGCTTATTGGCCAGCCTGATACTGTAAAGGGTTATCGGTGTCTGCTTTCGAACAGAAGTGTAGCGCGCGGTATCTCGAAAGTTTGCGATGACAAGATCATGTGGAGTCTCGCGCTCTCGTGACCCGGCCGATGCGCCGGAGAGCAAACCCACGACAGATATATGAACACCAAGGGCTGCAGTAATGAATAAGACAACTATACCTTGACTGCCTACCAAATGGCGGAGTCAATGCGTCGGTATACTCTTCTGGCGATACCCCGCTCTTGTATATAAACAAGCCTACCATCCGGGACCAGATTGGGCCTCTAATACACAGAACATTCGACTGCAAGTGCACTTACCAGACTTACACACCGCTCTATCAAGTCTACCTAGCGCGTAAGTATTCATTGGTTTTCGTTCTTCTTTGCAAGACTCATCAAGGACCGCGGAGGCTTCGATGATCTAAGTGCGCAACCCACGCCCTTCTACTGCACACCGAATCCTGCCTCACTTCACCTTCAGTATACGTACGCCATTGGAAAGATTGCTGACAGTATCTAGGACATGGCGAACACTCCGTTTCCGTTCGAAAGACTACCAGCCGAGCTGCGCACTGGCGTGTACAAAAACCTCCACTGTACCACGAAGTACGCAATAGCACGACGAGACAACATCAGAACGCCGGTGGTTGTCGTCAGATTCTCCTATATCGAACGCGCTATAGTCGCTGTGTCAAAGGCAATCCGAAACGAAGCTGAAAAGGTCATCGACGAGGAAACCCAGAAGTGTGGCCCGGCTCAGCTGATCGCAGACTGCGATTACTTCCACTTCGTCCCTGAAGTCCTTGCCGATATTCGAAACGCGCGAAAAGGCTATGTCCCACCCAACATGGGACTGGCCGATGAGGAGCGTGAGGATTTCGATACCATATTCACCCGCAGAAACCTAGTCGAGCAAGTTCGGATGGACGCGGTTATGTATCAGATGTGGATGCGCCTCGCAAATCTATATCTCAAGACGAACGAGCGAATCGAGGTCGGTGTCTGGATTGGGAACGATGCCGCTTGCGAGGCATTGGTGGAACTGCTCCCCTCTGCCATACAAGACATCATCAATCCCCGCTGGGACGCGTCCGACTCCGGCATGTATCGTCCCAAGTTCGCGGTGACCATTGAATGCTCAGAAGAGGTTGACGCGGATGTGGAAGACATTGTTCAGGATTTCAAGGATGCGCGTTTCGAGGTTAGCGAAGAACTGGAACCGGAAGAGATGGAGTCAAGATGGAGCCTTAAGACCTTTGACGGAGTTTTTGAAGAAGAGGAGCTGTCGAGCGACGAGTCCAGCGAAGATTCAGATGACGAGTTGGATTGAAGCGAGGATGAAACAATGGGTGTGGAATAAATGTGAAATTGGACAACGCGATAGATAGAGAAAACAAGATGGGCTACCAGAGTTGATTTGACGTCTGAACATACAGACAGCACCCATAAATGACTACATCTGACTTTTAACATAAAACACGCTGTCTATACATCGGCGGTGAAGTGTGAGTGGTGAAAATGAGTTTCAAAGGCTGGGGCTTGGCAGGTGCCGGCCAGCTACCGACGCCAATCCACCTAGCTCCCCGCCTTCCACCAACCACCTGCATCCCCCACGCAACTACTCTCCATCGGGATCGCGATCGCTCGTCGCACGCGACTACTACAAGGCGCGTTGTATCGCGCAACCAGCCTCTCCAGGATACGCTAGCTGTATACGATATCGAAGGAAAGTCGACCTTTGTCGCAAACAGCTATGCGCACCTGCTGCATACAGTGCGATCTCAGCGAGAACGACCACCGTTACTCCCAAACACGGAGACTTTATGGAACCATACCATTGCGACATGCAAGCGTTGCGATGCATCATTGCCAGCTGGGAATAGCCAAGCGTAGTGGGTTCCACTCGCCCGAAGTTTCGGCGAACCGGCATCAGCGCGACCGCATGAAGGACTGCGTACTCAAACATCATTGGCCATGGCGATGTACCCAACGAGCAACACTTTGGTTCACGACAACTCGATGATTGTAGTATCGTATCTGTCGTCTTCGTTAGCAGCGGCAAGCGATTCGTCGACGTTCCCGCTACCGGAATATGCCGCAGCATAGAAGCCCCTATCCGTCCCACATGGTCCAGCGAGCCCGTTGGCGCCGCCGTCCTGACACGTCTCCTCGATGGATGCGAGTTATAAATGTGTCTGTTTGGCAAACCTCCATCAACCAGCGAATCATCGATTCGCTTCAAATTTGAGCAAGATCTCAACAACCGGGCTTGTGGTTTAGTGGTATAATACTCCCTTAGCATGGGAGTGGTCCAGGGTTCGATTCCCTGCAAGTCCATCTTTTTGCGCTCGTCGCCGTCGCGGAGTGTCTGCACGACGGGGAGGTGTTGATTTTCTGAGGACGGAATTTCAATTTTTGACCATGTGAGTGGATTACGAAACCATCGGTTTCAGGAGCAAGTAGGCAAAGTACTACTCACAGTCTTACGACCCACGCTATACTTCGCTCCAATTCTGGATCTGGGACATAACTTCCGGCACCAAGTAATTACATCCACCGTTGGACATATATCCGTACCACGCTCAATCAATCTCCCGTCCCACTAGCTGTTCGACGCAATATACACTCAAGGAAATAACACGTCGATTGGTGTGTGAACGAAATTGCGCGACTGAAAGCCAGCCATCAGTCGTGCAGGTGCTTGAAAGTGCTTGTTGAAGATAGCAAGGGGCCTCAACATGCTCAGTGCACCATGGCTTTCTTCCCAAGCGTTGCATACGGCTCAACGTTGGAACATTCGCGTGTTCGTGATGGTATTGCTGCTGTGCAAAGCACTCACAGCGGGTTCTGGCAGCGCCATTGTTGCGCAGCTTCTCGAGCGGACCTCGGAGTGAATTGCGAGACCATGAACGTTCGATCGGAGCAACTGTGCTGCAACCCCGAGTCCAAGGGAGGCATTCCACTCTCCAGTTGCGGGAGTTTGCTAGGATACGGAGGACGTTGATCAACATCGGACAAGAAACGTAGCGACTATCACCCGTTTGGAGTATAGTGATTACTGACGAGTAGCATACACTCGCTAGTTTGTCTTGCAATCATTACACCGAGTTTTCGGGGGACCAACTACGCACCAGCGAGACACTACACCATTCGGCCGAAAACTCGGCCTTCCCTCTCGTATAAGAGACACAACATGCGCGGTAGATGTATCATCACAAGCACTTAGCAACAAGAATCCTTTCAATCAAATTAACACCAATCCCTTGTCTCTATCCATTCCACCGAACACGTCCCCATTGCCCAACATGGTCAAAATCGCAATTGCAGGCGGTGCTGGAAGTAGGTTTCCCGCGGATCATACCGACTGGATGAACTAACATCTTTCCAGACGTAGGGCAAGAGTGCATCGATGCTCTCCTCGCCACGAAGAAGCACGAGATTGTGATTTTCACACGCAAGGTCATTACCACGTGTCTCTCACCTTACTTGATTCTGACACATCTTCCAGGACGTCCCCGCCGAGACTACCGACTCGCCCGTCAAACGGGTGAAAGCCAACTACGAAGACGTGGCTGAACTGACTAGTCATCTACAAGGCGTAGACGTAGTACTATCTTTCATCGCGCCACTGGATCTGCAACAAGGGGTTACCTTCCAGAAGAATCTCATCGATGCCTCAATCAAGGCTGGTGTAAAGCGTTTCGTACCCAGCGAATGGGTCTCGTAAGTCATTGCAATCGCCCACTCTTCTGCGCTTGCTAACCATGATCCAGATCTACCTTAGAGCACACGCCGTGGTATTCGTTCAAGGACACGATACGCGAACACCTAGCCGAGATCAACAAAGACAGAAAAGTCATCGAGTACACTCTTTTCCAGCCTGGTCTCTTTTCCAACTACTTAACCGTTCCATACAAGTCAGCCAAACATCTCACGCCGCTCCGGATGATTTACGATTTCGAGAATCGTAGGGCCATCATGCGAGAAGGCGGGGATGACGATACCATCGTCTTGACTACGGTACAAGATCTCGCCGGCGTTGTCGCGCGGGCAATCGATTACGAGGGCGGATGGCCGGTCGTGGGCGGCATTCGAGGCTCGCGCATTTCCATCAAGGAGCTCATTGCTCTTGGCGAAGAAATAAGAGGTCAGTCCTTCGCCTTCTTCCAGCTCAGATGAGCCGTGCCGCTGTCTGCTTGTTTACTAATAAGATATCACAGGTGGACCCTTTGCCATCGAAAGACTCTCCAACGAGGACCTGAAAAACGGGAACTGGACTGCCTCCTGGTTACCGGAATTTGAACATAATGCCGTCCCACCGGCGATGGCTGGGGAGATGGCAAAAATGGTACTGATTGGCTTCACTAAGGCTTTTGGGGCAGGTGCCTTCGATGTGGGAGATGAATGGAACCGATTGTTGCCCGATTATGAGTTCACGGATGTGAGGACGTTTTTGCGCAAGGCATGGGAGGGGAAGCCGTGACAAGACAGTCGAATGAACCATGTTGCGCAGCCGGTCTTCGGGGTAATGCGATGGCGTAGACTAACTGCAGCAGTAGTAAGTTTCTAATAGCAAAAAATGTACTGTCTCTACTGTGTAACCCGTCCGGAGCTTTCGTCCGAGATTTCGGCCGAATACCACTGCCCTACTGCACCAGCCACTCTTGTCACTTCCCTCCCCAACCTCCATCAACACACAATCGAATATGCACCCGTCCCCCTCCCCGTCACCTCAAACCAACTCCCATGAAGATGAAAGAGCGGCGAAGCGGCGTAAAGTACGTAAAGGTACTCAAAGTTGCTGGGGGTGTAAGAAACGGAAAGTCCGATGTATCTGGGCATCACCTACCAAGTCCAAATGTAGTAACTGCGTGCGACGCAAGACAGACTGTGTTAGTCAGGAGTTTGCGGATGAACCGAATGAGAACAAGAGAGGAGATGCTGGATTAGAGACGCGTTTGGGTCGGGTGGAGACGTTGCTTGAGCGACTTATTGGATCGTCGACAGACAGGCGCCACGACATTGCTGACGAGTATCCGGGAACTGCAGTCCTGGAGAGACTGAGGAGCACAATAGTATGTGTAGCGTGCTGTGTTCTATGCTACATCCATCTCTGACACTCACAAGGATCACACAAGAAACATCAACATCACATCATCCACCTCCACAGAAACCACATCATCGATTACAGATCTATCGCAACAACCAGAACAAGCACTTGGCGATATATACACTGGTATATCGCGAGACCTCGTCGCAGCATGGCCCACAGCCCAAGATATCGACTACATCTGCAAGCTACCTGTCAGCATCTCCACGCACATGCACATGAAATTAACGACATCCTCTGCCAATCTGATGAACCAGGTTCCAGATAGCCCACGAACGATATTGCAGCTACCACCACCAGGATCGCATCCAGTACTGATAGCGCGGAAACTCCTTCTACTCAGCAACATAGTGCAGGGCGCACTATCCGATGACTGTATACCCAGAAGCCAGCGTGAGCATCTCAGTAAAGTCATGGCACATGCCATGGACACAGCAACACGGCTGGTGACATCCAATGACGAGCTAACCGCCTCTGTCGAGGGCGTCGAATGCATCATGATCGAAGCCATCACCCAGAACTACGCTGGGAACCTGCACCGCGCGTGGCTGACTGTGCGCCGCGCCGTTGCCGTAGCGCAGATGTTGGGTCTGCATCGTGGTAATGCTAAGCGAGCTTCTATCAAGGTGATGGATCCCAAGACGCGCGAGGGCCTCGATCCAGACCAGCTGTGCTGTCGTATTGTGGAGATGGATCGCTACCTCTCGTTGACACTGGGGCTGCCGCAGTCTTCGCTGCAGACGGTCGGGCTGAGCGCTGAAGTTATAGCAAAATGCCATCCGCTGGACCGCATCGCGAGGCTGCAATGCGTCATTGGCGATCGTATATTGGCGCGTAAAGTAGGAGAGCCGCGCGATGTTACGGAGAAAAGGGTCCGGGAAATTGACGACTTGTTCAAGGAGGTGACAGAGCTGATGCCGTCGGACTGGTGGCTTATTCGAGACTTTGACAACAAGGACGGGGGCGATCCGGATCCGATGCATGAGGTTGTAAGGAATATGTATCAGCTGTCGCACTTCTACCTCGTTATACGCCTGCATCTGCCGTATGTTCTTCGCTCGTCGGGCGACGATAGGTGTGAAGAAAGTAAAGCGACAGCTGTGCATGCTGCCCGCGAAATCATGAGTCGATATATCGCGTTTCGCAAGTGGAAACGCGGTCCGTATTATTGCAGAGGAGTCGACTGTCTGGCTTTCGTCGCCCTCATGGTGCTGTGTTTGGCCCATATCGATTCGCAGAACCAATCGATGATTCGGCACAAAGCACTTTTCGATCATAGCCGTCCGAGCGATCGCGCTTTGATGGAGCGAACGGTCAAGGTATTGGGGGAGAGGAGCGACGATGCTCTCGCCACGAAGCTATCGAGTATCATACAGTATCTTCTCGACGCCGAAGCGGCATCGGCAAATGGGACTGGCTACAACACTTCGGCTAGTGAGACAGACGATGGGCTGGCGACGGAGTTTGATGGCCAGTTCATGGACGCTGAGAAGGCGGTCTTGCAGCTTCACTTACCGTATTTTGGCACCATCAGCCTACAGCGCAGGCTAGCCTCCGATATCCCGTTGGCTGAGGAGATGCTGTCTATTCAGGTAGCTGACCAGACACAGTCATCACTCACGGAGTGGGACAATCGGTGGTCGTTCCTTGATTCGTCGAACGATGCGGGGGCGCTTGATGACTGGACACTGCAGAGCATCAACGAAGGTCTTTTCGGGGGACTGCTTGGCGGGCTGGGAGACGTGGATTTCGACCCTGGGCTGCCTGCAGATATATAGAAGCAAGGGAAATCCAGACGTGCTGTGTTGCAAAGCACAATAGAGATGTTCCAAGTCACGTTCGTACCCTTCTCTCCTGCTATCTCGCTCATTGAAGATGAATAGCACCGCTTTATCTGCCATAAGAGTGTAGCCAGGGCATGCTTTTCGGAGTTTTCACTACATCGTTCACGGTAGCTTGGTCGAGGTCGTCCGTTCGCCCTCCTCCGATTCTCTATTGACTGCAGCGACGGAAGAACAGAGAGGCAGGCGCGACAGGTGGGATATTTCGCCAAGCAGATACACTATATCAGGCTTAGCGCATCACGTAAGGAAGGTGCAAACCTTGGAATTACAAATACGTTGAGCACGGCAAGCGCAATTAAAGAAGGATATTAACAGCTAAAACTTTGCAGTTAAAATTAGACTGACTGCAATCTCAGTCAACAGGTTGCTGCATGTACAAACGTACATTCTTGAATCTGTTCAAGCAAGTCCTCATGGACATGGTATCCTCCAAACCATAGCTCTGACCTGTAGAGCAATATTTTAAACGCCGGAAAATGCAATGAAACAACGCCAGTATACGTGAATGGAAATCATGCTCGTCGTTTGCCGATACGGCCGGGGCCGCTGGGACGTCCACCATTGGGCTTCAGTGCGCCCTTGCCTCGCGAGGTAGGGAAGGAGACCTTGTTCTGGGGCTTGCGTCGCAGTTGTTTCCGGGTCTGGCTCTTGTCCTTGGTCTTGCGCGAGCTCGAGCTCTTCGCAGAGGTGGCGGTGCCGTCGACGTCCATATCTAGCAAGTCAAAGTTAGCCCTTGATTCTCACTCTACCAGTGCGGAGGAAGCGGGTCAAAGGCGAATTTGAGATGGCCGTCATCGGTGAAGCCCAGGATGTCTGAACACAGGCCTAGGTGGAAACACAGATTCCCAAGCTCACAGTCCTCTTCTGCGGGATCGGATAGGGAGCGTGGTATGGGGACAGTAAGCAGAGACGAACCTTTGGGCAAGTCCTCCTTGGCGGCATCGTCGGTGGTGTTGGCTGGGACATGATTAGAAGGTGCATATGGCGGGAGACGGCTGGGCGACTCACTTTCTTCGGTCTCCATCTCAGTCCTCTCGGGCTTGGGCTGGGCAATCGTCTCGAGAAGTTTGGCGTGCAGGCGCTCGGCGCGTGCCTGCTCGACGGGGCCGAAAACTCGGGCGCGCAGCTTGGTGCGGTTCGCCTTTTTGCTGCTTGCGCGTGCGCCTTTGGCCATTGTGTAGAGAGAGTGACGGGGAATGTGTGGGTGAATGGGTGTTTGGGCGTGTGTCTTGGTCACGTCGGCGGCGGCTGGTGGGGAAAAGTTCGAGGAATTTTGGTGGCAAGGCGTTTGGCGTATCAAGCCAGGCCGGCCCGTGCCCTGGTCGCGTTCTTCGCCTAGTTGCAGGTGACGCTGACTTCGGTATATCCCAGCTGGAGATGCGCTCGCCGCGAGAGCCGCCGCCTACCTCGACGGCCGAATACTAGAAAAGTCGCATTGCGGCCTCTGCTCGCCTGTTTGCTGCTCCGCGACTGTCCCGCCCGCCTGTCCTGCTCGCTCTGCATTGCCGCCGGGGGCTTGGGGAAGTTGCGACCAACGCCCGTCCGACTCGACTGCACCTCAGATAGCCGGATATCGCCCTTCGCTGCCTTCACCTCGCCCTACGTCACCCGCCCGAGAGAGAGTGCCTGAGATAGCCCGCCCCAGATGCCTTCGCGAGCAAAACTGAACCGGTAGCCCTTGACCTCCCTCTCCAACATCGCGAGCCTCTCCACCGCGACGGCACAAAACCATGGCGTCGAGCATGCAGCAGATGGCTGCCACCATCACCGAGCGCTCCAAGACACTCATCAACAACGACCTCAAAAAGATTCTCAAAGAGGAGGGCACCTCGCAGACGGGCAACAAGGCCGCACTGCAAGCGCGCGTCATTGGCCGTAGGTATCTCCGCTCCCCAGCAACACGGCTTGCTGTCGCCGCTCACCTGCTAACTTCACCCTCCCCAGTCATCGCCAATGCCGTTGCTAGGAGCGACACCGACCTGCTGCGGCGACTGCAATACCGCGTGCAACACCACGGCGAAGCGCCTCCACCAGCCACGAGCAGTCCCGTCGCCTCCTCGTACTCGCAGCCCCCTCCGCCCATCGCAAACGGGTACAGCATGGCCAACGGCTACCAAAGCAACGGCGCATACCAGCCATACCAACAGCCCCAGCAGCCACCCATGCCGCCACGCCCGACCTATTTCTTCAAGGAGAGCCCTTTCTTCGAGATTCGCGAGCTGATACTGAGTAACATGTCTCTGGACGCTTCGCCGACCCACCGTGCCACCATATCGCGTAACCTCACCCTCAACGAAAGCCAGTCCGGACGCCTAAAGACAGACCCATCTTTGCGCCTGCTGCTCTTCTCTGCGCTCGAACAGCCATTGGCGCCCTTCTCGCGTCTCGATATCGCATTCCCATCTCAAATTGAGGTCAAGGTCAACGACGACGAGGTAAAGGCCAACTACAAGGGTTTGAAGAACAAGCCAGGCTCTACGCGCCCCGCCGACATTACCGACTTCGTCCGCACCAAGGTCGCCAACCAGCGCAACAGCATCCTCATCACCTACGCCCTGACCCAGAAGGCAAGTCGGTCGGAGGTTTCTTATCCCATCAGCTCCCCAAAGGTGACTCTGAGCTAACTCCCAATGCAGAAGTACAACCTCTTCGTCTACTTGGTCAGGAAGTACTCGGTCGACGAGCTCACACAGCGCATCAAGAAGCGCCACGTCATCACGAGGCAGTCTGTGCTCAATGAGAGTATGTAGTGGCCTTCGGCAGCTAACGTCTCTCACATGACTAATGTTGTAACAGTGATGAAAAAGGCCAATGACCCCGACATCGAAGTTGGCTCCAGCGTCATGTCGCTCAAGGACCCAATCTCTACCCTGCGCATTGTCACCCCATGCAGGTCGACTGTGTGCACACACAATCAATGCTTTGACGCCGACTCATTTCTGCAGCTCCAGGAGCAAGCTCCCACATGGACATGCCCAATATGCAGCAAGACCATATCATACGAAGGCTTGGCCGTCGACCAGTATGTTGAGGAAATCCTCAACAAGGCCCAGAACACGGACCAGGTCACCATCCAGCCAAGCGGACAATGGTCGACCGAAAAGGATGAGAAGCCCAAACAAAACGGGCACAATGGGCATCATGACGATAGTGATGATGACCTCATCGAGATACCAGATTACCGTATACAGGCCATCAAGACCGAAGCTGCGCCGACACCCACTTCGCTCAGCACCCCTCCACTGCCATCTCGCGAGACATCCACAGCCCCTCGGTCTGGCCAGAAGAGAAAATCCGAAGTAGTGGATCTGACCTTGAGCGATGATGATGAGCCAGTAAGACCAACGAAAAAGGTAGCGTACACTACCCCCAATAGCCTTCCTGATCCGCCCCGTCGGTATCATTTACCTCCCCTCGGCAGTCACTCTGCCCATAGTCGTCCACTGCCACCAACCTACCATAGTGGGTCTGCCAGCATGCGTTCTGATTACTCCCGGCCTCCATCTACACCTCCACCACGCCATGGGTATCAATCCTATTGACCAGCACAGCCTGCTTCGCGGCCTAGCTATCCTGGACAGGGTACTTCCTCCTACCCTACCTACCTGGGCTCTTCTTCCCCTTAATTACATGTTGCGCGTTCTTGTTGTATCTTCCACTCATGTATGAGTATTGTTCATCCGCTAATACCACCTCGGGATCGCAGGGCAGAATAACGGGGACCAGACGAGGTAGCACATCATCCACTTAGGCCGTTCACAATATTGCGGACCGTTGCGCCACGTGGCGGGCATCCTGCGTAGGCTGATGAAGTGAAGCTCTCTACATCATACACTCATCTCTTTCCTAATTTGTCAAGGAAACTTAGCGCGAGGCGTTTGGGGGAGGCTGCATTTCATGACCATCTATCTACGGCGTAAAACACTGGTTGGGGGCATTGAGGATACCACCGCTTGGGATACTTGCATGCATTTCGGGAGCTTATACCAGCGACCTTCTGCAATGACGAAAGGAGCAGAAGTCGCGTGCGGAAGGACGGAGAAAGGAGGTGGCGGTTCATGTACGATCGTGTAGCAGTGACGCCTTTTGGCTTCGGCCATACTAGACAGTTACCAGTATTACCGTGGGTGCTGTCAGCAGTTTCCACTTTCCTCTATTTGCGCTTACGTATCATACACCCCCACGTACTCAGTCCAGCGGTTCCGGCAAAACACAAACAACATCCTCCTCTTCCCCGTCATCCCCAACCCTCTGCCTCACCTCCCTACTCTCCAACTCCACATCATCCACATCCGGCTCCTCCCCCAAGCCATCCACCACCACCTCACCCTTGTCCTCAACCTTCCTCCTAACCTGCGTATCAAACAACGCACCCTTATCAAACAGCCTATCCGACTTGACCCCTCCCTTCCTCTTCACTTTAACCTCCCTTATCCTATACGCAAAAACAAAGTCCTCCGCCCTCGTACTCTGCTCGCTCGTCCCGCTCTTCCTCTTCCAATTCCCCTCCGGTCCCACCGAAATCGGTACGCCAGACCACGCTGTCGCATCCACACCCGCATGCACATAGACACCTTTTTCCTGGAGCCGTTCCCTGGAAAGCGTAGTTGACGACGCTATCATAACACCGGTTATGATGTAGATCTTCTCTCTAAACCGGTGCTGAGTGATGTAATCCCTGACATCCTCATGCCTCACCACGTCTTCCAGAAACGCAGGACTGGGCCGGAAAGTCTGCGTTGTCATTTTTTCGACTTGCCAGGTTTGCTGAGTGGACTTGTCGTGGCTGATGCTTAGGTCTAGGCTCGCGCCCAGCACGACTTCGAGGAAGGAGGTCCAGATACCGAAGGTGGATGAAGAGGATTTGCTGTATGTGCCGCTCCAGTTGTGTTCGGTGAAGGTGCTTGTGTCGGTTTGTGGTGGGAGGGAGGGCAGGTGCAGGGGCTCGTCGGGTTGGGAGGGGGAGGGGATGATGGCGCCGAGGCGGATGGGACCGTCGGGGGGACTTGGACGTGGTGGGGTGAGGAAGTATGTAGGTTTGGGGGTGGGCATGTTTTGTGCGATGGTGAGAGAGAGGGAGTGCTGTTGTGATGTAGTGACGATTGGAGGATGTGGTGACGCTGTGGCAGACTGAGTGTGCGATGGTAATCCGGCCGGCGCCATATATATAGTGAGGCGCTAGTTGCAGAAGTACTAGACATGAGTCGAAGCATGCATGGTAATGCAGGGTTGCGTGTGGATGCATGACGAGCGGGGCTGAGTAATGCAGCCAACAGTCCAATCCTGATGGGCTCACTGCATCGAGCAGTGTGCACCCAGTAAACTCATGTTGGGCACCAAGGTATCGAGACTGATATCTCACTGATCATATCTTCATGAACAGAATCTTCGGCATACCTTGCGTGCGCGGCGGGACAGGCTGTGTTGGCTTAGCATTCGCATTCAAAATTTGAGAGGGGGACACTTACCCTTTCTTGATGATCATCGAGGGAACTCGGCAAGGACTCAAGCTCTACTCGATCGTGTCTCGGAGGTCGTGGTATCCCGCCAGTTCTCGGCACTACCAAGGCATGGTTCCCACCATGTGTTGTGTTGAAAGCTGCTGCTGGTCTACGCGTCTGTCTTGTGGCTCGGGATGGTTCATAAAGAGTATGATGAGGCTGCTGATCAGCTGGGTGATGTGTCGGAGCAGCTTGGTGAGTTGTTGGAGGGATCGTTGGAGGTGCCACTGGCTGATGGTAATGAAGAGGGACCCGAGGATGGTTTGGATGATGTGCTGAGCTAGGTGGTAGGCCGGGTGCTGGACGGACCGGTAACGTTGCCGCTGGACCTAGACCACGGGTACTGAATGGTGGTCTAGTTTGAGCAGCAGGTGGTGGAACTGGTAGCGGGGCTCTTGGGGATGACGGTGGGCTTGTTGTAGAAGAGCTTTTATCACTACCTGTATTACTACCCTTACCACCACGACCACGGCCGCAGCAACAGCACCATGTCAGGAATATTAGAATCAGTAGACCAAGAAAAGCTCCCACAAAAGCTCCTCCAATAACTTCGCTAGATGGTCGCGCAAGAGTAGGGCTTACGGGACCAGTCTCTTCGACGGTCGCTGCAGTGGGGGTCCAGCGGCGAGCAGCGGCTGGGAACGCTTCAGGTATACGAACGACGTGCGACGGT